CCCGCGCTTACGATGCGCTCAACTCGCTCTCTATGCGCCCCTGTCAAGCTCAATTACTCCATCTAGTCGCTGCCGCTGCACTGTCACTGCGCTCACACTATGCTCTGCTCGCTCTGCTGTCCTAGTAGCTCGCGTCGCACTCTCTATTCGACCAAAATACGCTCATGTGACGTCACTTGCGCTGTATAAATACCACGACAAAACGGTCAATACACAGTCCAGTTTCAAAATTATTCTACAAGTTCATCGCAGTCGAGTTACTCTCATGGAGACTACATCGACTGTCTTGCGTCTAGGCTGCCTCAATGCCACTTCAATGTCGCGCGATTCACGCTTGCACAGCGCCCGAGATGCGTCATTACGGCATCCTGGCCAGGGCGCAGAGGTGTTGTGATTGTTTTGAGCATGTTCAAAGACCTTGGCGCTCATCGGAGACCATTAAGACCCTCTGGCGCCCATCTGGCGACCTATGTAGTTGTCGCTGCGATCTAGTTGTTGTTTTTGCGCCCCAGCTATTTTTCAAGGAGGCAGTGAGAGCGCATACAAGATCGCAGACAGTGTGACAGGACCTTTAAGAGAAAACTGCCCTGCAGATGGAGGCGGTGACTGAAAACTTATTATGATGGCTAGTTCTGGTCATTCCTATGGGTGCATGTACATGTGTACCTTCTTGATAATTGCTATAGCTAGTAATCCGGATTACCGCATTCATTCAAGTATGTGTCTGTATAAGGGATTAACTTTGGGATTAGCCCTGATTTGACTTAATCTGATTTTTCCTGTTTGAAAATAAGACTGCTACTTCATGGAAAAGAGCAACTGCTCCAAAAGATACAACAATTTTAAATCTTATTGATTACATGAAGTTAAAGTGAAAATTCCTTTGGGAAAATGATGGGTTGATTCTTAGGGTTAAACAGAATGTGAAAAAGTTAAAAGAAAAATACATTATCTCCAAACATTTTACAATGTACAGTAACAAGCTTTTACAAATTTGAGAAGAATGGATTACAATGAACCCACCACCCAAATGCAGGCTGATGGAGGTCATTTGAGGTTTTTTTTAAATACATTTTTGAATCATCAACATATGTGTACAATTGAAGGTACATGTAGGGTACGGTAGATCGTTTGTCATTGTGCAGTTTCTTTTCATTAGAAGCAACAAAAGTGCTCAAAATCTAAAGACGGGCGCTAAACAACTAATCGGATGAAATTTCAGCTCAGTGAATGCTGTATATTCCGAGAAAACAATATTCTAGGATCTAAATTTCAATTCAAAAGTTGCCGAGTCATCTTTTAAATTGCGCCCGAAATCAGCATCTGGAACACGTTCTCATTCAACCAATTGCTGTTACGCGATGTCACGAAATGAACCGACAACTAATAGCAACCGCGTGTGCGTTTGCGTCGTGTTAACGCTTGCGCACACCCATTCACGGATAAATTTGCCGATAATTTACAAACCAACTACTAATAGAAATTTCCAAAAATGCGTCACTTGACGCATCTTTGGAAATGGCCTTTTTTGTATTGTTTTCAAAATGACAGCATGCCAGAAAGAATATTTTCACAGGAAGTTTAGTGTCATTAACTATCTTTAAACCAAGTAAGCTTTTCAACACTAATTTCGTCAGTTACTTTTTGGATTACTGCAAATTATCTTCTCTACCTTTAGCCTTCCTTTTTCAATATTTCAGTACTATCTCAGATGCACCTGATTTTAATAAGCCTTTCAGATGTTTTCACTAAAAATCCTGAAAGACCCTTTAAATATACCGGTACTACAGCAGCCTGACAAAACAAAAGACCAGTCAGCCAGTATTTTCAACTTTTCATTTTTGAGCAAGACATGAAAAGTTGTGGGTTTTTCTGAGCCCCAAAGCTCTGGTCCACATCTTTCGGGGAGATGTATGCACCACTCAAGTGGGCAAGAGGCACTGTGAGAATAAAATGCCTCATCTCAGAGTGCTCTTGGCATACAGCATTGTACACCAAAAAAGTGTGGTCACTAAGAAGTTAAGATCGACAAATTTGCTCTACAGCAATTCCAAAATCACAGACATTACAAATCAGACATAATTTGTTTTTGGTTCTCTAAGAGCTCAGTCAATAAACTTGACAACTTACTTTTATTTATACATCCATTATCTACTAATGGTCAAGGAGATTACAGACCAGGAGTTTTGGATCATTTGTCTGAATCATTTATTAGATGGTTAAATGGTTCTGTCACAGACTATTTTCTTCTGTAATGCTGGAATTACTCTCTACTTAGTACTCACCAGCAGATCCTGGTCAGCAAGTTTCTGGCAAACAATTCCACTTTTATTGGACTTCTAACACCAAAAACTATGTACCGGTATCTTTGTGTTTCCTCTCACTATGCCACCTCATACATGAAGGCTTCTACTGTCCAGAACTTGCTCATAGCTAGCTCCATGCTCTGACCATAGCTCTGACCCACTGAAGAGTTAGCAAACACTGCCCAGTCACCTCAATGTTTTGCTACAGGATTAACACCTCTTGACCAATATCTCCTAATAGCTTTTACAATGTGCTTAGCACCATAACCGCTTACAGTTAGGTTTGGTGTTTGTGTGAGTTGACATGATGTCCACACAAAGGGTGACTGTAACTGGCTCTGACCAGCCAGGCGGAATGACAACAAGAAGGGAGAATACTCAACTATTTTGAGCCCAGGGGGCAACAAGCAGAAGATGTCTTAGGCCTAAACCTTATGGACAGAGGGTTGGAGCATAGATTTATGAAGAAAAAAACCCGATGGTTGAAGGAAGGAGCACCCTTCTTACTAGACCCAACATGCTTGCCTACTGTCTGCTTACAGGCTGACCGACTGATAGCTCCATGGGACTGACTGACTGACTCCCCGACTGACTGACTCCCCCCCCCCCCCGACTCCCCGACTCCCGAGTCCCCGAGTATAAATAGTGTGCTCTGTGACTTTCAGGTCCAGCTCGACTAAGCACGCCATTTAAAATAGCATCATAATGAGAAAACAGTGACATAAATTGTTTCCTTACATTTTCTACATACACAGAAGAAAAGTTGATTGTTCATGTCTAATTCCATAGAAAACAAATTCTTGGAATAATATTTTTCTTCTGATTTTAACCAGTTCGCGCTGGGACAGTTCAATGCCAGACGGGTCCAGGCCGTCATCTGCGGGTAACACACCCTGATATTTCCGGCCTCGCTCGCTGTGAGCGGGTTGCTGACAGATACCCGGTACTTACGGCCTCGCTTGTTGCGTGTTTATCGGTCATCCGTTCCGAAAACCTTTGCGTGTACATCATATCAAATCCTTTGTGGTCAAAAGGACCCCATGTAAACTGGCCAAAGCGCACAGCCAGATGACCTTGGACACATAGAGATAAGAGCTCCCAGGCTCTGTGTATATACAGTAGCGCTGCCTAGCACGTGTACAATAAACAGACCCTACGCGCTGAGCCATTGAGCAACGTCAAATTTTATTGGAGTTTAGATGTACAATTCTTTAGTAAATGAATACACGCGAGTCTAAACCTTAACCAATCACAATAAGGGTTATATTGTTGGAAAGCTGACGAGACGAAGAAAAATGGCTCGAGAGATCTAAGCTCCCAGGTGGCACTATTTAACGTTATGATGATGTTAATGGACCAGTTCTTGGCTGAACGCGTGGTTTACACACAAAACAGGGAGATTTTTGACTGAAAATGCAATGTTTAACATCAATTCGCGAGTGAAACTCAGTGTTTTATTCAGTTTTTCTTTCATTTTCTGAAAGAGTATATTGTTAGGGTCACACTGTAGTGAGATCTAAGGTATACCCTGTTGAATAATGAAGTGGTGGCGACAGATGTGAAAAAAGGCCCGTTTTTAATGATTTTTTCGCCGCGTTCTCTCATAGAGGTTGCACATAAAAACCGGCCCGGTGGGTTAGTTCCCCAAAGGAATTCATATGACACGTCATCCGACGTGAACTGGTTAAGAAAACCATTTAATAGGGATTTTGTATTCTGATTTCAGGATGAATTAATGTATACAATGCACTAAATGCACACAAAAACCCGCCCTGCACAATTCGTGTACATATAGGTGATCCATCATTTTTATCATCCGATTATTGATGAGTTCCGAAGATACGCGTATTGACCAAGCAAGTGAAATAACAACTTTTGATAGCGATTGTCAACATTTGCTGACCACATGCAGCTACCCGTCCTTGGCCAATAGTGACCGACTGACCCTACTGGGCAGCAACATAGTATTGTTGCTATAGATGTGTTCAGAACACCTGTTAGCTTAACACAGTTGTGTTGACGGAGAAAATTAAACTGTTTGTGTACATACCGGTATGCAAGACAAACTTGAAAAATCGGACAGAACTAATTAAAAAAACCGGAAAGATTTCCATATACATGTATATACGAAGTTCCCTCAACACCCTGTGTACAAACCCTATGAGATTGGACTGAAAAATTCTAAGTGTTTTTTAAGAAAATGCTTGTATTTTCTCACTTCTCAAATTGACTTTGATGACATGAAATTGCTATCTGGGGGCTTGTTAGTCAATACAGAGGAAAATTAGTGAACTTCTTATATGGAAATCTTTCCAAAAAAACAGACTGGGTGAAGTTATAAGTACAAGGCCAACAAATTAGTAGGGCTGTCCAGTTTCGAATAATTAAGTATTCGATTATTTGAAACTCGCCTATCAAGTTTACACATACCAGCTGCAGGTTGTGCGCAAATCGCGGCAGATACAAATTGCGTGCAGCGATCGATGTTATGGGCCGCTGGAGTGTTTTGTTGTAAGTACCGGTATTTTATAACTGTCAAGGGCTTTAACCTGCTAAAAGGATGAAAAAAATTAACCGCCATCGACAACAAAGTTACTTCTGACAATAAAGCGTTGCAACATTGGTGATCAAATATTTCATTATTAGGCATATCTGGGACGACCCTAAAAATTAGTCTATAAAAGTTTCGCTTACCTCTTCATCTGAGATGCACTCATCTTCTGACCCCGTTAATTCACCGGAATCCCTCCTCTCCAAGTAGCAGACCATCTCCAGGCTCTTATCTCGTTTCCATGACAAGCGCTTCTTGAATTGTGGTCCGGAGCTTGCCGAGCTTTGGTCCCCTCTGACGGCTGATGATATCGCTGCATCGTCTGAAGCTGTCTCGGTCTCCGTGGAAACCGGGACTTGGTCCGCTGACACATTCAATAGCTGTTGGTCGTCGGTGACGATGGATGATAAACCTGCATCTCTGCTGGGTTTGGGGTGACAGAAACCGTTGTTTTGCTCCGCATAGCTGCTGTCTACAAATATTTTGACCGGGCTCGGGGAAGAGGTACTTGTGTCTGCGATATCGGAGAAGGAAGGAGCTCGCTTCCCTGATTTTCGAGAGGGTACACTGGGTGCCGATTTCGCAAGCTGTTTATTTCCTTGACTCGAGGGGAGCTGGTGGGTCTCTTTTGAATTCTGAGAGGCAACAGGGTCCTGTTTGAGGGTTTCAGAATTTGGGTTTTTGACATAAAGCGAAGAGCGAGATGACTTCTGTCGAGGGACGGGAAAACTCCAGCGCCACCAGCTTTTTCGTTTTAACGTTGGCTCAGCAATTTTGTTCGACTCGGGAGATGGTTCCGCAACATTTTTAATTGGATCAGTTCCACCAATAGAGGGAGGCAGACTGCCCGTCTCAACTGGTATACTCCACCGGTGCTTGCGCCATTGTCGTCTTGCATTTGGGTGCGAGGTTTCTCTGGAATCTTTTCTTTCTGAGGATAAGAGAGTTTGACTTTCAACACCCTGAATTCTATCTCGTTTGTCAGGTGTCAGATTTGTTTTACTGTTTGCACTCGGCATTTCAGGCGTAACCGGTACTCTGCCATCCGAGACGCCAGTGACGTCAAGCTCCTTGGTGCGACTGCCCTGGCGTGACCTTCCAGTGCTAGTAAGCTGAGCCCAGAAGTTCTGAGACCACTGCTCCAGGGCAGAAGGCATACTCCAGCGGCTGACCTCTTGGTTGTCCGTGGAACCCCGTCGCTGGCTTGGGCTCTGCACATCCGACTTTGCCCTCCGTTTCACCAACACGGGCTCTGTCCTCTCACCCCGTTGACCTTTGACTTTAGGTGGGTCATCCACGTTCATCAGGAACTCCAGCAGCTTGATGGGGTCGGAGCAGGATTGCAGGTAGCGCTGTTCAACTTCCGACTTCTCCTTAGCGTAAGGGTGGAAGGAGTTCTTCCGGTGGTTGGGTCTTGGTACGGCTTCCTCCGTGTCCATCATTTTCTCCAAGATCATCGAGCCGCTTATGATGGCCGGGTTATCGCTAGACTGGGCATCTCTCAAGATATCTCCAGTTGACGCCAGAGCTTTGTGGGGTGACTCAATGCTGGATATTTTTCTCCTCCGCCTGGAGTTTTGAGGGCCAACTGTGCTCTCTTGGTCTCCTGGGGGGAAAAAAGGACAATAAAAAAAAAGGAACACTAGTTTAACTTTTGAAAGCAATTTCCTCTGGAAGTGGAAAAGTGTTTCCTGAAGTTAATTTTCAAATGGCAGTGAATGATTCGGTGCAACCCGGCAATTAAGTCCATTGAGACTTGCCAATAAAAAAAATTTGTTCAAATTATAATTCTCCCCTTCCAATTCTCTATGAAGACATCACAAGATTCCAGTGTTAATCCAGCAGAGACCTACACACCAACTACTGCAACCAAACAGATTTGCACGCTCTACAGTTTGTTACAGTAATTGGGGACGGGGGCAGTACACTGCACCATAGTGCAGTGATCGTTAGAAAATGCTTGTGCTCCCAGCTGAAACCGAGCTTCGTCAAGCATAGAAGAATGCAGAGAGTCCTTCAGGTTTCACGTTCTAGACCAGTGGGTTTGAAAGAACCAAACCTGTTTAAAGCAGTTCTAGGGTAAAAGGTTAATTACCCTGGTGTCGTTCACAAAGTCTTAACAACAGTTGTTTGTGAATGTGGGCAGATGGTTTTTATTTTGAAGGACAGTTATAAAACTGATTCAAAACAAAATTCAGAAAAGAATTTTGCTGGAGAGGCTTGGGTTGATGAAGCAGAGGTTTTTTTTTTTATAATAGGAATGCTATTATTTATTGGATGGATGAACTACTTGTTTGTCACAGGTTTCCTCTACAGATTTTTTAAATTTTGAAAACTGGATGTCCAGAAAAACAAAAAAAAACAATAAAAAAGGGACACATATTTTTGCACTTGAAAAGGAAATGACACTATAGGAAAAACTCTCCTAAGTTTTCAGAGCAACAACTACACATTTTTCGAACTGGAAACTTCGTTTCCAAAAGATGGAGAACATTCTGGCTAGTATAGACAAATACAGACAATCCCAAATGGCTTCTCAACTTCTCAAACCCCATACTCACTTACTTGTGCACTCCTGGTACCATACAAGAACAGCACTTTCAGACTGACGAAAGGCTTTACAACAAGGCAAACATTTTGTCCACAGACACACAAACAGCCCAAATAGTACAAGTTTCAAGAAAAGAAACTTGAAGAACACCAGGTAATCAGAGGCAGCAAATGTGACTGTACATGTCCTGCCTGTTTTACAAACTATGTGTTGTGTCCACCATCCGTAGGTTAAGTCTGAGAGATTTCATGAGCACAGTAGCCTTAAGAGCAAATACAAAACAGGCGTATCATGTGAAATTCAAGCTTCTTATGGAATTGGAAAACACTCTTCTCACGAGGACTGAAGTTTCTGTAAGCAACAGATTCAATTTCAGCGGTATCCAAGAGGTTACCTAAACATAAAACGATGTCAATAAATAAAGCCGTGCCAAATTTGGGGGTGACTTTTCTGTCGCAAGATCATCAAAGGGGGTTAAGGGAAATCTATGGCATTTGTTCACTGGATTTGGATCGGAAATGTTGATGGGTTGGAAACTTTAAGGATAGTTTATGCTCAATTGCAGGAAGCTGGTGAGTAGAAAAAATTGTCTAGTACATTTACATGTTATACGACGGAAAAATTATAGCCAAGGAAAGTCACACAGTAAGCAATATCCTATAGGCCTATAAGGTGGGCAAGTACATGTTTTAAGCAAATATTTGCTGTGCTTAGTAACAACTTGTGCTTAGCATCTTTGTGAAATTGAAGAGGAAGCTGTTTAGGGAGACAGTACTTAGAAGGTTTTTTTTTAAGCAAAATAACAAAGAAAAAAAAGAACTAAAAAATAAAACTAGAAATGTGTTTGTGGACAAACACAAGCTGTTTCGGATATTTGAAATACTCTGTGCACATGATGAACACTTGATGAAGTCACTTCGAATGTCATCTGCCAAGTGAAAAGTCAATCAGACATATAGTGCAAAAGTATATTGAAGAAAAACGTGTACAAAACCTACGGGGAAAAATGCATCTTTAATGTGAAGTAACCTTACACCTGATGATGTCACGATCACGAATTTCTTCTAGGACCATCTGTGGGTGGTAGTCTAAGTGTGTACCAAGTCTAACGTGGATCGGATTTACTAAAGTGCCAAAGTAGAATGTTTTAAAACGTGTACAAACCATATGGGGAAAAATGCATCTTTAATGTGACGTAACCGAACACCTGATGACGTCACGATCACAAATTTCTTCTAGGACCATCTGTGGGTGGTGGTCTAAGTATGTATCAAGTCTGAGGTCGATCGGATTTACGAAAGTGCCAAAGTCGAGTGTTTTATAACGTGTACAAACCCTATGGGGAAAAATGCATCTTTAATGTGACGTAACCCGACACCTGATAACGTCACGGTCACGAATTTCTTCTAGGACCATCTGTGGGTGGTGGTCTAAGTATGTATCAAGTCTGAAATCAATCGGATTGGAAAAAGTGGCAAAGTGGACTGGTGGAAGAAACGTGTGTTAAACCTATGGAGAAAAAGTCTGAAAAAGGAGAAAAAAAAGAAAAACTAGAAATGTGTTTGTGGACAAACACAAGCTGTTTCGAATATTTAAAATACTCTGTGCACATGATGAACACTTGATGAAGTCACTTCGAATGTCATCTGCCAAGTGAAAAGTCAATCAGACATATAGTGCCAAAGTATGATTTGAAGAAAAACGTGTACAAAACCTACGGGGAAAAATGCATCTTTAATGTGAAGTAACCTTACACCTGATGATGTCACGATCACGAATTTCTTCTAGGACCATCTGTGGGTGGTAGTCTAAGTGTGTACCAAGTCTAACGTGGATCGGATTTACAAAAGTGCCAAAGTAGAATGTTTTAAAACGTGTACAAACCCTATGGGGAAAAATGCATCTTTAATGTGACGTAACCCAACACCTGATGACGTCACGATCACAAATTTCTTCTAGGACCATCTGTGGGTGGTGGTCTAAGTTTGTATCAAGTCTGAGGTCGATCGGATTTACGAAGAGGCCAAAGTGGAGTGTTTTAAAACGTGTACAAAACATATGGGGAAAAATGCATCTTTAATGTTACGTAACCCGACACCTGATGACGTCACGGTCACGAATTTCTTCTAGGACCATCTGTGGGTGGTGGTCTAAGTATGTATCAAGTCTGAAATCAATCGGATTTGAAAAAGTGGCAAAGTGGACTGGTGGAAGAAACGTGTGTTAAACCTATGGAGAAAAATTCTGAAAAAGGAGAAAAAAAAAAAAAACTAGAGATGTGTTTGTGGACAAACACAAGCTGTTTCGGATATTCGATATACTCTATGCACGTGATGAACAATCATTGAAGTCACTAAAAATGTCATCTATAACAGCACATTATGCGTACATGTCAAGGTATAACCAAATCGAACATATAGGTCTGTAAATATAGGCCTATAAAGAACAAAATGCCCCTTTAAGGGACGTCACATGACATTCGATGATGACATCACATGAATTTTCATCTATAACCCATCTCGGCATTGGTACGATCACGAATTTCTTCTAGGACCATCTGTGGGTGGTAGTCTAAGTGTGTACCAGGTCTAACGTCGGTCGCATAATTACAAAAGTGCCAATGTAAAGTGTTTTAAAACGTGTACAAAACATATGGGGAAAAATGCATCTTTAATGTGACGTAACCCAACACCTTATGACGCCACGATCACACATTTCTTCTAGGACCATATGTGGGTGGTGGTCTAAGTATGTATTAAGTCTGAGGTCGATCGCATTTATGAAGGTGCCAAGGTGGAGTGTTTTAAAACGTGAACAAAACATATGGGGAAAATGTACATCTTTAATGTGAAGTAACGTGACACCTGATGACGTCACGATCACGAATTTCTTCAAGGACCATTTGTGGGTAATGGTCTAAGTGTTTACCAAGTGTAACGTCGATCGGATTTACAATAGTGCCGAAATGAAGCGTTTTAACACATGTACAAACCCTATGGGGAAAAATGCATCTTTAATGTGACGTAACCTGACACTTGATGACGTCACGATCACGAATTTCGTCTAGAACCATCTGTGGGTGGTGTTCTAAGTATGAATCAAGTTTAAAGTCGATCGGATTTACGAAGATGCCAAACTGGAGTGTTTTAAAACGTGTACAAAACATATGGGGAAAAATGCATCTTTAATGTGACGTAACCCGACACCTGATGACGTCACCGTCACAAATTTCTTCTAGGACCATCTGTGGGTGGTGGTCTAAGTATGTATCAAGTCTCGAATCAATCGGATTTGAAAAAGTGGCAAAGTGGACTGGTGGAAGAAACGTGTGTTAAACCTATGGAGAAAAAGTCTGAAAAAGGAGAAAAAAAAAAAGAAAAAAAAAAAAAGAAAAAAAAAATCTTAACGAAAACAAGAGCTGTTTCGGTGTGTCACCGAAACAGCTAAAAAAAAGAAAAAAAAAAATCTTAACGAAAACAAGAGCTGTTTCGGTGTGTCACCGAAACAGCTAAAAAGAAAAAACTAGAAATGTGTTTGTGGACAAACACAAGCTGTTTCGGATATTTGAAATACTCTGTGCATGTGATGAACACTTGATGAAGTCACTTCGAATGTCATCTGCCAAGTGAAAAGTCAATCAGACATACAGTGCCAAAGTACATGGTTTGAAGAAAAACGTGTACAAAACCTATGGGGAAAATGCATCTTTAATGTGAAGTAACCTTACACCTGATGATGTCACGATCACGAATTTTTTCTAGGACCATCTGTGGGTGGTAGTCTAAGTGTGTACAAAGTCTAATGTCGATCGGATTTACCAAAGTGCCAAAGTAGAATGTTTTAAAACGTGTACAAACCCTACGGGGAAAAATGCATCTTTAATGTGACGTAAACCAACACCTGATGACGTCACGATCACAAATTTGTTCTAGGACCATCTGTGGGTGATGGTCTAAGTGTGTGCCAAGTGTAAAGTCCATCGAATTTATGAAAGTGCCATAGTGGAGTGTTTTATGAAAACGTGTACAAACCCTATGGGGAAAATGCATTTTTAA